ATCACTGGCACTATTCTAAATGTTACCACAAATTTTACTATTATTATTTATTTATTTATTTATTTATTTATTTATTTATTTAGCTTGGTTGCCTAAAGTCATTAAATAGAGTATAGGGCATATACTCTTCAGCACACAGGTATTTTGGGGTTTTTGTTCTCTTGCGAAGTTCACCCACAGCAAATCATTAAAAAAAAAAAAAAAAGTTGCTGCTTGAAAATCCGGAGGTGGAGTTCAGTAATAAACTGAAACAGATGCTTTGCAGTAAGGGAAGGACAGTGCAGTGAGGCCATCAGTGTTTGCAGGGCAAACACCACATCAGAATGGTAGGTGCAACCTGCATATTTGACAGTAGCTCTATCGCACATGAAAAATTCCCACAAAGCAAACGAAGTATCTTAACTTTACCTTTTTCCTTATTTAAATGTACATCAATGGTATACTTATTCCTAACTTCAATTTCACCCCTTACCCCTTTACTCCTCTTTTTGGCCAGGATTGCTGGCCAGGATGGTGATAGGCTATAAGGTCTTGAGGACCTGGTCCCCCATTTTACCTTTCCAGACCCATCTTTATTCCTGCCTCCCACATTTCCTATGTCCCCATCACAGCAAGATGCTCCCCATTTTCAGACCCCCACATGCCTTTAGGACTTTTTTTTTTCAAGAAAATCCATGTCTGGCCTATGCTTCCTCATCCTAGACCCAGCTCAGTTGTCATCTACTGTCTGAAGTCCTCCCCAGTTTCTCCTCATAAAGAGTGGTTTAGAGCAAGAGAGGTAGGCTTGAAAAGCCAGTTCTGTTACTTAATAAGGGTATAACTCTTGATTGACAGATGAACTCTGTTTTCTCATTTATAAGATGAGGATATTAACATGTGTCTTTCACTGTTAGCTGACTCTCAGAGCTATCATTAAAATTAGATCTTTAGCACAGTGCCTGGCACAAAATAAATATTCATAAACTGCTGCTATAATTATTATCTCCTGTTCTCCCAGAACACTTTGTTCTGCAATAGTGTTTATCATATTGTGTAAGAACTGTTCCTTTGTCAATCTCCTCAGTGAGATAAGCTCTGCTCAGCTTTGTGTCTCCAATGGCCATTATATGATCATACATGTGTGCTTAATTAATGTATGAACAGTAAAGTCATCACCCCATGGTCTTAGTTAAAGTCCTTTACATTCATGTTTTAAAATACTCTTAATTGAAGCTTTCAAATATGGCTCTTTCTTATTCACAAATATATGGACAAAATGAAAATAGAAGAGCATAGTTTCATGGGATAGTGTTTCAGAAATCAGTGGCACCAGGCACTTCTAGAAGTGGAGAGGAAGGCAGGTCCGAAAATAGGAAGGCACAAGACAAGGTCTGTCTTGGCGAAACTGGGTCCCCCTGAATGTTGCGGCCCTTAGCCAAGGCATGTGGTAGTTTTCACGATAGAGAAGGTCACAGTCAGACATTACAGCACAAGAAAACAAACCAGCACAGAAATGAATCAGCTGATACAGCAAACAGCATAATTCACAACCTAAGAGTTACAGGAAAAATCAAGCTAAGATTGTTTTCAATGCTGAGTGAAATCAATGAAATTGTATAATTTATAAAGCAAAAATAAGACAAGCAGATTTTAAAAAGCAACTAAACAGAAATACTAGAAATAAAAACTATAATCAGTAAAACAAAAAAATCTTAGTGGACAAATTAAAGAATGGTTTGGGCACAGGTAAAAAAATAATTAATGAATTGTAGAACGGATGTAAGAAAGAAAATGACCAGAAATATATCTGGAATCTCTAAGCATAAAGATCATTGCACAACTTCAATACTCAGAAAGGCAGTAGGATACACAGAGATGCTGAAAGTAAATTAAATATGTAATAAATTATCCAGTCAGATTGATTTTTTTCTAACAACATGTAATATTACATATTCAACAACCACCAGGTTATTTATTGTATCTGGAACGGAACTATATAAATTGATTCTAGCATCTAATATTTCCATGAAATAGTTATTTATACTTTGCCTAATATTAAAAAAATAAACCTTCATAACGATATATAATGATTACAAAATCATTTCAGAACTTAAGGAGGATATATAAGTCAGGCCGCCTCAAAAAAAATCACACAGTGAACATAACTTAGAAACTTTAGGCAACCATATAAGTAATCTCACACTTTGTGATTTCTAGTGTAAATTACGAAGAAATCATAATTAAACTTAACCTTTCATGCTGGAAAAACTTTAAAGCACACATGATAAAAGAAAGATTTTCATTCACTTCCTTAGACATACAACTAAGAAAATTTTGGAATCAGAGAGAGGGAAAGGGACAACCTTTTGTAGTCATTTGGCCTTTAGTTAGGGGCCGAGGTTCCCAAGTGATTTCCTGGTTGCAGAACAGGGCTGCATACACACCTGTGGGATGGTGGTACTAGTTATAGAACTAAAGCATCCTCATATGCAGCTTCAGGAAGAGCATAAACTTCAAGAGCAACTTGTTGGAAACACGTGATGACCCAAAATGCCAAACTGACAAAGATAGAAACAGAAAGATCCCATCTCAAAGGTAAAAATAAAGGAGGGGCTGACCCCAGCCCCTTTTTCACCAATATCAGAAATGCTTTTAATATCAACATGAAGTTAGAGAGGACGTAGACATTTTACATTATCTAACTTCAGTTGTAAAAGAAAATACTGGGAAATGTTCTCCAAGACTAAGTGTGATGCAATAATAACAAGTATAACAACTCCTTGCATTTAGGTAACATGATTAGAATTGGAATTCCATTTTCTCATCCCTACTTCCCTGTGGATAGGTGGGGCATGCTGCTTGTCACCATTTTACAGGGAAAGAAGCTGAGAAACCTAGTGGTTAAGAGACTCGTCTTGTGTTGCCCAATGAATGAACCAAGTAGCATCTTTTCATGTAACCATAAATGTGGTTGTTTTGAAATAGTTCTTGCTCTTAGGGAGGACTGGTGGCAGAGCAGGAAAACTCACCTTTGTAAGAAGAGTTCTCAGTTGGCGTTGGGATAGTCTTATTCTCTCTGTGTCCAGAACCGAACTCATCAACTTCCTGCCAGAGCTCACAATCTATCTAGCTGCTCAACTTTGACCTCTCCTTCTCTATCACTTCCCAGCAAGTCTGCCCTCTAAATGTCTCCCAATACTTCTCCCCACCCCACTGCCATCGTCATCACTAAAGATCCATGATCTCTTTCGTGGATTACAGGCATCCCAGCCTTCAGACTCGCCCTCTTCAATCTACTTCCTAGTATACTGTGACAGTAATTCTTCTAAAGCGACATCAGATAAAGACTGTACTTTTCTACATTCCCCTCAATGAAAGTTTGACCTCAGCATAATGCCCACTTTGTGAAATGGCTTATAAAGGAGCCCTAGTTTATCTATCTGTTTTCCTCTTCCATCACTTGCTCCCTTACTCACTACATCCCAGTCGCACCACAGTTTGTCTGTTCCACCTGCCCTTTCATCCTTCAAAACTATGTCCATGCTATTGCTGCTGCCATGAACGCCCTTCCTTTCCCCAGCCCTTATACTAGTCAATTCCTATTCACACATCAAAGCTCATCTTAGCAGTCATTTTCTCCAGAAACTCTTGTAATATTGTATTTGCTCTAACTTGCCTGTATTTCCAAACTGACTGTATATATTATAAAGGGAGGGTATGTGTCTGACTTATGTACCACTGAATCCCCAGTGGCTTGCAGTGCCCAGTAAATATTTCTCTTTATTTAGTTTTTAAACTTGCATTGGGATATAGAATAGCTAAAAACATGCCCAAATCATAAGTAAACAACTCAATCCATTCTTACAAATTGAATACAATCTGCATCTAGGACCCACATTAGGAAACAGAACATTGCTTATACCTCAGAAATTCCCCCATGTGCCCCTTCCAGGCAATACACCACCATGGATAATCACAATCCTGATTTATAAAAGCATACATTAATTGTATTTGCTTTCACTTTACAAAAATCATATAGTACATTTGCTTTTGTGTCTGAATTCTTTTGTTCAACATTAGGTCCACAAGATTCATTCATATCATTGCATGTGGTCATGCATTTTCATTGCAGAAGTGCCCAATAAATATTTATTAAGTGAAGATAATGAATGAAAAAACAATCACTAAAATCCAAAAGAGGAGAAAAGTCTCCACGTGTCACAAAATGAAGGAAATGGATCAACTCCAATCTTCAACCTGAATCCCCCAAAGTAACAGGAGATATAAGAAATGGTATAATAATATGCATCCCAGGACCCTTTCCCATGTCATAATAGTAAATTGAAACATCAGCAGCAATAGGATCACTCCTTTTCTCTTGTTTTATCTTTAAGGTGTGTCACTTCTATAATCAGAATCACAGAGCCAGGTGCAAAGGGCATCATTTGAATTATAGGATGGTGACTGGAACACACCTTCCTGGATGTTACAAGCAAGAAACACAGACGTTAAATGCTGACTTACTTCCTGTTTTTGTGCTTTACACTATCCCTTTTAATATGCCAAACGGTCTATGAATCCCATCTGTCAGGAATTAAAGATGTACAATGCAAGTAAAGGAAGTAGCAAATTAGAAAGTGATAGAACAGGGGCAGAATACAGGGACAGAGGGAGGATGCATTGAGAACATCAGGCAGGGATCCTAGAAGGATTGTCTTGGTCCTTAGCTCTGGCTTCAAATGAAAATCACTTGGAGGAAATGCTGATAGCTGGGCTCCATCCCAGACCAATTAATTGTTACAGGATCGCTAGGCATCAGTATTTTTTCAAGCCTCCCCAGGTGGTTTGTACATGCAACCAGCTTTGAGAACCACTGGTTTAAAGCAAAGACTAGAGGGAGACAATAAACAGACACACCTGTAGTTGTTCCCAAACTTTATTATAGGGAAAAGTCACCTGGAGAACTTGTTTAAATTGTGGATTCTCCCAAAACCACCCCACCCCAACCCCAGAAGATCAGATTCAGTTGGTCTGGATGAGCCTAGGGCTCTACATTTGCCACAATCTCCCCAGTGATCCTGAGGGAGGAGAAACCCCAGGGAAAATATGGCTAATGAGGATGAAGAAATAGACGAGAGGTGGAACTTCAGTGAAGAGGAAAACTCTTCCTAGCCTTGGTCCAGAGCGAGCACACTAAAACTCTGTCCTGAAAGAGGTAACAGACTTTATTTTTTTCTTAAAATGAAGTTTTGTATAGATAACAAAAAATATGAGTACTTATTAAAATTTCATTTGCCCTTAAATTTAAATCTCTCTGAAAGAATGTGAATATACTGAATGGGCACCAATTTACCTCTTTGCCTTCCTTTCCTTTACACAATAGTAAACCCACCATGCCAGTCTGAAAGGGGCCCAGTATTGAATAGTTTCTAAAATGCATAACTTATAAAGTGGCAAGCTCTATAACCATAAGTGTGCTTTAATAGGATGATTCCATGATAATAAGCATCCTTTAAAATTAACAGATAGCTTTTAGGAAAGCCAGTGCAAAGACTTTATTTTTGTGACCAAATGGGGAGGATACATTAAATGGCCTCTGAAGTTCCTTTGATTATAAGAGATGAAGAACTCAATTTGAGAATTCCAGGGTTTTTTTTTTTTTTTTTCCGCTTGACACCTGCTAGATCATTCAGTCATCTGCTTCCACATTCCAAGAGACTGCAATGTAAAAATTAATACAAAGAGAAGCTACTGCACAAGATATTATTCAACAAAATGTGAGTGAAGGGTGCATCCTTGAGCATGGGAAGAGAGTCCCAGCCCACCTAAATAAGGACCAGTAGGCAAGTCACATTGCCTACCCCTGAGTGGACCTCAGCACAGGGCTCGGCCGTTCTGGATCCCAGTTTCACAGTTTTCTAGCCTATAAACTGAAGTGACTAGTAGCAGCTACTATATTCTGAGCTCCTGTGTACTAGGATTTTTGTGTATACCTTTTTGCAATAATTCTGTGAGTTATTATTATCCCCATTTTATAGATGGAGAAATTGAGACTCTAAGATAGTTAGGCAACTATCCCAAGGTCTAGTTCTTGAGTGGCAGAACAAGAAGCCAGTTTCACTATTCTTAAAGCCCTAAAGTTCCGGGCCCATGTCTGGCTCATCGCGGCAGCCCCTAGGTCTCGTCCACGCAGTACGGTGCCTGGCACACTCCGGACATGTCTGCAGTCCGTGAATCAACCCAGCTCCAAAATCATTTTCTTTATCCTTCCAATTCTTCTATTATATATGCCTCAAGAAATGGACACTGGTATGAATATCTCAAAATAAATTTCCTAGACCCAAGATTAGAAACATTTGAAAAGCTCAGTATTTGGTTTCAGGAGAGTTGGGAGGGGGAGGATTGCAAAGGTTTTGGGTGGCTGTTTGCTGCAGTAACCAGAGAATAGGATGGAAAGAGCCTAGATGGACTCTCTTCCTTCATTGGTTTTGTGACTTTAAGGCCAGTTAGCTAATCTTCATTTCCTCATCTGTGAGAGGCAGTGTGAATCCAGTGATCCTTGTGGCTCATTCAAACACTAAACTTTTATTGTACGCAGTCCTTTTTATTTTAATAAAACGCTATCCACCACCCCTGTTTCACATGTCCCTGAACATTCACTCACCTAGGAGAAAATCTGTCTGATGTGCACAGGAGTGTCTATAAACAAAGTTGACTATTCAGACCTTTTGCATATTATATTTATCTGAGGATCTGCAGTTGTTTTCTACTCTATTTTTAGTCTGTAGGTAGTCTCTTTTTCAGATGACAAGGAGGGATAAATCAAATATTATATTTACAGTGAGCAAAATACTCCCATTTCACTCAACATTCCTTGAGTGTTCTTGTTTACCAAGATCAACCAACAGTACATTTGGAAAACTATAGAAAACTGTGCAAATAGAAGTTTTGTTAGACAGCTGGCATGTTCAGGAAATGGGAAGGGCCAGTGAGTCAAAAATTACTACAGATTTAGAATGTTACACTTAATAATTATGGTCATGGGGTAGCTACAGGATAGTTCTTAGAACAGTCAGATAAGTAGACATGGGGATCTGGAGCTGCCTACAGACCACCTGGGAGAGGGAATAGTAAACTAAGCTTAGGTTAGAGGTAGCTTTTTTGCAATTGGACTTTAGAATGTAGTGATTACTTCTCTATCATCTATTGGATGTTCTCTTTTTTCCATTCCACTTCTCCTTTCACTCTTTCAGTTTGTCTGCATCACACATCTACTATGTGCACAAAGTAATAAAGATCAAAGAAACCATAGAAAAAGGACCAGCTTTTTTAGAGGGGATGTGGGGGAGACAAATACATGCAATCAAGTGCCATAAAATAATACCAGCACTAAAAACTCAGACTTTGGAAACAAACATATCTGGGTTTTAATCCCAGCTCTACTAGCCATGCAAACTTGGGCAAGTTGTTTATACTGAGTAGAGCTTCCTCATCTGCAATAAATGTTACAGCCCTTGCTGTGTCTGGATTTTTGCATGCTTCACCTTTCCAGTTTGGAGCTCCAGTCAGCTCTGCAGGTAGAGATGAAGGCATCAGAAGCACAGGTGTGGCTGTGATGATGACGGTATCTGTTTCATAAACCTTTGGTACTGACTTAAATGGATAATATGTGTAAGGGAGGTTATGGTGCCAATTATATATTTGATCCTTCCAAAAGTAGTAGCTGTACAAGGTGAGCAGAGATGAGGGGGTAATCCATTTTAACCAGGGCTGCAGTTTAGGCTTCCTAGATTCTTAACAGGCTCCACTGCCTTTGACTCCAAAGAGCATTCTTTTCTTCTTAAAACTCACTTGATTTTGCTGCAATTACAGTAGCCTGATTCAGTGTTTCTCTCTTGAACTTTTCACAAATTCCTTTGATTCTTTGACTCCTATCTCTCTTGTCTCTTTACAACTCTTCCCAAGTTGTAGTCCTTGATCCTTGCATCTCCTGTCTTAACCATATTGCCTCCCATGGGTCATCTGCCACACCTGGGCTTCTGATGCCTTCATCTCTACCTTCAGAGCTGACTGGAGCTCCAAACTGGAAAGGTGAAGCATGCAAAAATCCAGACACAGCAAGGGCTATAACATGTTCCAGAGAACAAGGTGCTGGGGGTGGGAGGTCCAAGAATGTTTGAGCTCATCCCAAGTACAGGCCCTCTTTGCTAAGGTTGGCCTCTCCTGTCAACTTCTCTGCATGGGAGGAAACACTGCCATGAATATTTTCCTAAAGAATTGTTTTTATTTGTTTCCTTTCCCCCTTCTGGATCTCCCTGTTACCTATTATCTCAAATATGGCCTTCTTGCAGGGTTCCTTTTGTGTACTCAGCCATATATTAACCATCTCTCCCCATCAAGGCATCCCCTTGCTTTCAAATTTGGTAGCTTGTTTTTTCCAAAGCAATAATACATGTAAAAGTGTCTAGCACTTTGCCAGGCACAAAAACAGTGGTCAATAACAGCCCCGTATCAATCCCAGCTTGATTTGGGGAGGCCATAGGAACAGTTTTGTCAGTTGTATGATCACATAGGTGTGGGTGGGTGTCTTTTTGCCATTTCCCAGTGGTGACTCCACATTTTCCCTGCTTCCTTCCCACAGAAGCTCCCAGAGAGGGAGCCCTGTTTTCTTTCCCCTTAAAAAAGAAGACTTCTGACTTGTCTCCTCATAATACCAAGAATCTCTAGACACAGGATAGAACCCTAATAGAGGGAAAACAACTATCGCTCAGTTATAGGTCAGGATATTTATAGAGTGTAATATACAACCTTAATGGAAACCTGTGGGAAGAACAAGCAATATTCTAAACAGTGACTTGATCCTTTTTGTACAACAGAGAGGTTTTTTTTAATTGCACAGTTAAATCTGGGTCTTTTGGTTGGAAGGACAGTGAGATTTATGCTTCCCTGGGAATTATATCTTCTCAACTACAAATCTCAAGACCTAGCTGGCATTCACGAGAGGGAGAACCCATCCTTTCACTCATTGAATAAATATGTCATGTTATGGCCACAGCCCTGGGGAAAAAATTTCAAGAACCTTCTATTAAAGAAGACTATCCAAGTATGTGCATTATGCAAATAATCACCTTCTGGTAAAACATAAAAAGAGAAGTATATGGCTTGCAGGGCTGAAGCAAGCAGGAGATTATATGTGTCCAGAGATCTTTCAATATCTCAATAACAGATATACTGTTATTTGAACTGGAAAGACAGGTAAGATTTTTGACAGAGAGCAGGAGAAAATTTTATAGTCAGAGTAGCATGAGCAGAGAAGGGACATGGGGGCCTGCACAGGGGAACAGTGAATAGTCTGGACTAACGAGGATGTACAATATATTTGCAGTAGTAAAATAAGACAAGGCTGGAGGAGGAGGTAAAGGTCAAGACATGAATGACCTTAATTTACAAGCTAAGGCATTTCGCTATAGTTTAATGGTAAATGCAAACCCACTGAAGGATTTTAACAGCCATGATCTGCATGGTGCTTTATGAAGCTTAGTCTCCCAGATGATTTTAAAATCTTTGCCTATGAATTAGCTAAGGTCCTCACCATGGCTTGCTGGAATTATTGGTATAGTAAGCAGTCACCCATCCAAAACCAATCACATGGGAGTACACACAAATAAGTCAATGGTTTGTTGTGTGATATCTTTGTTTAACCTACCAACCTCTGTTGTAATCATGTCTTTACATAATTCTTCCTTCTATTAGACTGTAAGTTCCTTGATGGCAGACCAGTACCTCACTGGTCTGTGTATCCTTCTTCTCAGCACAATGTTGACACACAATAGATTGTGATGTTTTGTTCATGCAGTGAATGAATGAGAGCATGCAGGCAAGAGCACCATTCATTGGAATGAACCAAGTGAGAGATCAAGGCTTGAGCTAAGGTTGCAGCCTTGGGAGTAGACCTGAAATATACTGCAAAAATAAGCTAAGTCCTGAAACACTGTCTAAAATAATAGTGAAAAACATAATCCCATTTCCTATTTTGTGAGTTATAGGCCACCATAGTATAAAATGACTTGTAGAAAATATAAGAAATCTTTTTCTACACCTGCCTCATGTATGCACGCTTAGGTGCGCATTGCATACACAAGCATGCATGCAAGCACACACACAGCATCCTTGATTCCTGGTTTTGCTACAATTAGAAAACAAAATAAAACAACA